CCGTGATCATTGACTACTAAGCGTTGAATTTGTGTTTGTTTTATTTTTCTGTTGATTGTAGGGCAAACTGTGAATGTTTTCTAAAGAATGATATTTTTTGTATAACTTTCTAAACTGTCTGAAAACGGGTCATTTACTCAGTATTTAAAATAAAGGCTACAGTGACTAAGCGTCAGACTGTAATGTAAAATATTGTCAATAATCTATCACCAGAATGGAGCAAAAACAATGGCTTGTAACACAGTTACCGGTACTAGAACTTGAAGTGCTTGAAATAAGCGCCATTTGAAACAAAGTTGCTCAAATTTAACCACAAATAAGTGCCACCATGACATGAAAGTGTAACAAAGTGGCGCCTAATTGAAGACAAATACGGTATCATCATGAAATGAACAAATCTAAGAGAGGTCTACCCAAGGTACATATACACCAAGTATCAAAGCATTCAGGCTTGTAGTTTTCAAGAAGAAGTCGAAAAAGTAAAACATTGACACGAACGACGAGGGACAATCCCTCATATGATAAGCTCCGTTCGACAAAGTCGACAGCGGAGCTAAAAAAAAAGGGCAGTAAACCTGACAATCAAAGAAATTTTATCTAAAAGCAACTCACCTCCTGAGAAAGTGGATTCAGAGCATACTGTATGTTGCATTCGCCAACAATTCCAAGATGGCGGATCACTTTTATTGCCGTGGTTCGTAGTTTATTATACTCTATATTGGTTAGCGTCTGGCTCGGAGCCACTACGATAGATTCGCCAGTGTGGATGCCCAAAGGATCAATGTTCTCCATATTACAAACCTATGAACGAGAGGAAAGTTTAAAAACATTTGTTCATTAACATTTACTGAGTTTTCTCCTGCCCGTAACTATGTTAAACATTCAACTCATAAGAAACCCTGCAACGTACCACACCACACTGCAGTACAGTACACAGAAACTTGCGTGGTCTGTTGTAAAAATGTCCCAATTTGTCTGTGTAGGAAAGGTTGATTTTGCCGTGTAGATGTTCGATAGCTCGTCAGAATCACCCACTCTCGTATGGGAATCGAATGATGGACTTATAACTTGATAATAGTCTATTTAAAATAACTAACTTGCAATAATACAAGATGTCCATTTGAATTGTTTTATGCTAATGTAGTCTATCGGCACAATTTTGGCTTCAAGAAAATCAAACATTGCAGTGTTCTTTAGAAAATGATTTTCAGATTGATAAAACAGAACTCACTGTGATACAATTGTCATAGGCGTCTCTCACAACCTCATACTCGACCTCCTTCCAACCTTTCAATGATTTATCCACCAATACTTGATTAGTATGTGAAAATGCCGTGACTGCCAGCTCTCTTAGTTCCTCACTGTTGTCAGCAAATCCTGATCCCAATCCACCCAGCGCATACGCTGCTCTCACGAGTACTGGGTAACCAAGACGTTCTGCTGCCTGTACAGCCTGTAAGTAGAATCAAGTCGATACAATTGTTAACTTTATATACAAAGGATATTGCAATTGTAAAATGATAATGAAATTCGACAAATTACGAGTGTAATATTTGATAATTTCTAATGTTTCATGTCAACTCAGGCAGTTGGAGATATTATCACTTAGGAATACAAATGATTTTGAAGAACGAGGTATCAGAACTCACTGCTACCTCAAATGAAACCATACAAAAGTACTGTGCTATGTGATTTCAGTTAGTTGTAGCAGAAATATTGTGCAATTATGTATGTAACAATACGTTTACTCTATTACTGTAAAATACTTATTTTGGGGAGGAAATTTATGTTTGCTGAAGTGATGATTCAGTGAAAATAGAATCAAGCAAATATATCAGTAGTTACATACAAGTTACCAATGAACATAAACTCCATACAGAACACCCAAAAAGTCTTTTCAGCAAAAATTAATTCCAGCTAAAATGAGGTGTTTCAATCCCTGAATTTGCATAAACATTTTGATAAAAATGACCTCTGACCTCACCTCATCCACTGTATAAGCAGCTTCACTGGGGGCAACTTGTTCCCCAATTTCTTTCATTTTATCAGCAAATATTTTTCTGTCCTCCGTAGCAACAATGGCTGAGACAGGAGTTCCTAAGACGCGTACATTGAATTTGTCTAACACGCCTTGCTTTGTTAAGCTGAGACCACAATTCAACCCAGTCTGCCCACCAAATGACAGCAAAATACCATCGGGACGTTCACTTTGTATAACCTGAAAAAAAAAATTACAAAGCATTACATATGCAAAGAATTCATTAAAAAATCAAAATTACATGCTTACGAAATAAATTTAGGCATTGTAATACATATTCTCAAAAACAGGCAGGTACTGTATTCCACATTTAAACCAAATAGTTTTAAAAATATTGAATTAACTGAAAAATTAATTAAATATGCAAATGAAACATTAAACTTTTTACCGCAAGTTTTCATCACAAACTAGTCCATGTTTACATTCTGCACTTTCCTTCAGAAAAATTGAAAATTGACTCAAATTTTGTCCGCTGGCTCCAAAATTAGGGATCATTCCAATAAATCTGGGCGAGAAAGTTTGGTGTTGAAAAAGTGAAAGCACTACAGTTAGCGCTCAACACCACATGAACCTATCCCTCACAAATGTTTTTACAGGGTTATTAAATTTGAGAAATTTTAGACAAAATTTGTCAATTTTACATATTTAAGACATTTTTACATACAAAAGTTCATTTAAATCAAGATAATGTTGTTTTTCTTTGGGGGGGGGTTACAGATAAACACCAAGATGAAAAGATTTGATCTCAACATGAACAGCCATTTTAGAAATTAAAAGTCATTTCTAAAGAAATATTTTCTCCTACAAAGTCATAAATGCATAAGACTTTCATCTGAACTTACCTGTGCTACATATTCCGGTGTTATCGGAAGAAAATAAACTTTATCTGCCAGACCTTTGGATGTCTGTATCGTGGCAATATTTGGATTGACCAATAAAGTATGGACGCCTTCTTCCTTCAGAGCTTTTATGGCCTACAAATAAAGAAATGAAAGTCAAATTTTATTAAAACGTTTTTTCCAAGAAATAGAATCATCCTTCCTAGCGAAACACATTTTCTATACTTTTCTCTAATTTCACTCAGTATCAATTTTGAAATAAATAAACAACACTTCATGCTTCCTATTTGTTCAGATCACCGATATAGTATTTATTTATAAGCAACTTTTACAGAAATAGACCGCTTTTGAATAGAAATATTTTTCTGGGAGGTGCTATCAAATAATGGCAGTGAACAGGTTGATGATAAAAATAGCATGCCGTATCACTATACCTGTGATCCAGAGTAATCAAACTCCCCAGCCTGGCCAATAGACAGGCCTCCTGATCCAAGGATAAGCACTTTCTTTGGCTTAACATCCATGATGACCGAGATGTCAGGTTTGTATGTCATGGCACTGTGGAGACGTTCTTTTATACTTGGCCTGAAATGAAATGAACCAAAAAATGCAATGAAATAAATTGTAGGTGCAATGGTAGTAATATTTTAAATGTTTTCAAAATGCTGGTTACATGATTTGGGGAACAGTTTTTGTCGAACTCTGGAAATTGCAGGTCCTGTCCCATTCATTGACAAAATGGACCTGTTTGGCTACCTGCTAAGCTACCAAGCTCACAAAGGAGGAGGGGGCGGCAAATCGACAAATCCGGTCAGCAGAAACACAGTTTTAGGCTGTTATTTCACTATTATTACCAATTTCAGTTTAGTACCACACATACCACGTTCAGTAACCTGGCAACCATGTAACAACACCCAGAAACTCAAAACTCGTCTATTGCATAAATTAATAAGGCATCTGCAATACTTTTGAACACACTTTCATCCGCTTCTATTAACAGATAAATTCTAAATTTGATCACCGGGATTCCATTTTGATTCAAAATTCCCACAAATATTAGTCTTCTTAGAGGACAAACTGGTTGCTACATACCCTTGTATATCACCTCTCTTAGCAGCTCTCACAGAGTCCATAAAAATATCAAACAGAAACTCCAGGTCTTCGGGACCAGCCATTGCTTCTGGATGAAACTGAACACTGAAGAAAGGCTTACTGTTATGGATTATCCCCTCATTGGACAAGTCGTTGGCATTGGTGAAGAGGACAGACCAATCAGAAGGCAGAGTTTTAGCGTCCACAGCAAAGCCATGATTCTGCGTAGTAATATAACAGCGATCAGTGCCGTTGTGAATGCACGGTTGATTGTGTCCACGGTTACCATACCTGCAAAAAACGAGGAATTATTTGTTCAGGATTTCATTGCTCCAGTGTACAATGTTAGAGTTGAACATATTAAAGATCTGACTTCTTAACTCAACAGTATTATTCCAAGTGAAATAACAGAGTACAGATATCCCAAAGATTGGGTGGCACCAAAGTCAGAAAATAAAGTGGCCATCCAAAACTATAAGAAATAGATTTCAGTCTTATTGCTATTTTGTAAAAACTGAAACTTTCAATAAAATTAACTAAAGATCTGAATTAAGAATAATGTTCAATAAAGACAATCCATGGAAAGTGGGTCAATGTGCAGAGCTTTGCAATCCCACTTGTGACTGATTTAAGAATCCTAATTTATCCTAGTTTATTGTGTTAATAAGGGCAATGCAAATTTGAATATTTCAATGACACATCTGAAAATCATGAATATTCATGAGATGAGACTGAGATTAATTATATTCCTTGCAAGTTCATCACGACTTACTTCAGTTTGTAGGTTTTAGCATCAATTGCCAATGCTGTTAACTGATGTCCAAGACAGATACCAAAGACAGGTTTTGGATTTTTTTCATTCAAAATGTTCCGGAGATTCTCAATAGTTACGGAGCACGACTCCGGATCACCAGGGCCATTACTCAAAAATAAACCATCAAATTCTGCAGAAAAAAAAAAATCTTTATTTACTGAATAATTTGGACAAAAACAAACATGCACAATTATTATGTATCATGGGTAATTTAACAAACTCCAGTGTAATTTGACCTTACCTTTGCTGTTCAGCTTGTAATCGAGCGGTACCACCGTGACACAAGCACCTCGCTTGGCAAGGCAACGTATTTGATTATTCTTTATGCCGCAATCAACAGCGACTATTTTGATCGAGCCAGATTTGTTGTACGTTACAGGTTTCTATGAAAATAAAACGATCAATAACAACGTGGTGGTGGAAATCTAGAGATTCGTATATCAAAGATGATATATTTTAGACCCCCAATGTAGCAAAGAAAAGTGTAATTGACATCAAGAAAAAAGGATTTTTGAAGATGTCTTTGAAAATGTCAGTGAAATAAAACCAATTGAGGTATACTAGAAATCTGAAGTGAAATTGAAGGAAGAAGTGGACCATGAAAAACTCAGGGGAGGCGTGATGGCAGAAAAACTTTGCAAAATATTTTCCCTTAACTTAATTTCGTGCTTATTTTAGTCAATTCACCGTAATTTGTTATTTCTTCTGTGTGTAATATTTTTTTTCTTAAGAAATAGACATGCAGGATTATTTTAAATCTCGCCACCCCCAAAGTTTATAATGATCCACCCTTAATGGATTATATCAGAGGTACATTACTTGGGGTTTGCAACGCGCATAGTACTGTATGGTGACATCATGCCAAGATCCCATTTAAGTCTCTTCTCGTAGATAGCGAGACTGATGCTACGACCTTCTGACATGACATAGGCAGTTTGTAATAATCAATAAAACATGTATTACCACATTCATAGTGAAACAAATTAATACATCGAAAATGTACAGAAAATAAAGTTATCGTAATCCGTCATATCGTGAGCAGATATTTTGGTACACCTGGACATTCCAGAATCCTAGTTACCTCGGGCATGCGCATTCGCATTTTTCTGAGTTGGAATGCGTATGCGAGAGCGAGATTGAAACGGGATCTTGGTATCATGTCACCGTAGTTGCAAACCCCAAGTAATGTACCTCTGGTTATATTCATACATGAAGTAGTGAAAATAATAAAATTGGATGTTTGGAATGTGTTACAATTACCATTAAATTTGTTAACCATGTTTGTTTTATTTTGAAAATATTCACATTTAAACTGTTTAGATACAGCGACAAAGTAGCATTTTCACGACTGTTTAATACTTACGTTAGACGAGACTTCAGAAACTAAGTGACGTTTATTTGGATCATCCGAAAGATATACTTTCAGGATTTGTTCCATCAATAACAACCTACAAAGTAAATTAGTCATGGCATATGAAATTGGATCTATTTTATGTCTTGCATCAGAATACAAATTTTCTTAGTGGTGTTATACGATATCTGATCACAACATGTATTAATATTTTACAATTAATATAACTACAAATCTTGGTTTTATACAAAATTTATCAGAATTTTTGAGAATGCAGGAATTTTATAAAACAAGGGAACATGCCATGGCCATGCACCCCCTTACCCCTGGGGAGCAGATTCTCTGGCAACCATAAAATTCTGATTGACCAGGGATCACATGTGGCCACAGTCCTTAACTGTGACCTGTCTGATAGTAATTCTGGCCCCAAGGAAGCCATAGAATGCTTGATTTTAACTTAGAATTATTAAATACTCCACACCCTGGTAGAGAGAACCCCATCTCCCCCACTTGGTGGCGCCGCTAAATTGCAGTACTCCCTCTTGCAGTTTTATTCTAGAAAAACTCACAATCACAACCATTTAGCAGACTGAATCTTTTAAAATGAATTAATTAAGGGAACTGATCATTACCACCCAGCCGGTTTCCTGTGAGTTTGACTCGGTTTACCGTACCGGTCGTTGCTTTACCGTACCGGTCGTTGCTTTACCGTACCGGTCGTTGCTTTACCGTACCGGTCGTTGCTTTACCGTACCGGTCGTTGCTTTACCGTACCGACCGTTGCTTTACCGTACCGGCTGGACAAT